CCTTTCATGGACAGCAGTACCTCACATTAACGCCTATTCTGACTGCTCTCTTCCCTCTTAGAGGTGTAGCCTTTTTACTACAACTCTTGATAGAATCCATTTAACATACAGGTCTTCAAATCTCACTTTAACATCAGGGTGTTGATAATGACCTGGATAAGCATGCTAAAAAAAATGGATAAAAATGGATAAGCATGCTAAACCTGAACAGAATTTTAAGGTCAGGATGTCCTTTTCACAGTCAGTGAACACAGAAGCTTTTAAACACCAAAAACAATCTAAAGAAATGCTTGTGAGATGGTATAATCAGGATATGCAAGTTTGAAAACCATGATTGCTGATTCATTCAGTCAGCACATCTCTATCTCTACTTTCTTAAGAATAGTATTCATTTTTAAGAGGATTTTGGATCTATCAAAAATTAGATCCAAGATTACAATGAAGAAAAGGAAAGAATGAAAGTGTCCCAGTTTTGAGGACAGCATGGCACATTCATAAATCTCATGTAAGTGTGTTTACAAATGGATATACAGCAATGGAGAATGAACATTGAGACAAGAAGCTTATTTTAACCATGGGAGTATCAACACAAGAGCTGAAAAAAGAGGCAGAATATTGCTAGAAAATTTGGGAGGTCATGAAAGTGGTACAGAGGGCTTCAACTGAGACATTATATTTGATTCTATAGGTTATAGGTGAGAAATCACATACTTCATAATAGTCTATCAGCAATAAACTCTGTCTGCCATAGCTACTTTGACATGACTTCTTTAAGTTGGTTCGAGTCAGGTGTCTCTAATTTACCTCCACCCCATAATTCCAACAGTATTAGAGAAGGTGCATCAACAAAATTATGCAGTCATGTAGACAATTTGGTAGGCTAATTGGCAAATCTCAAGGACATGGAACAGAAGCCATATAGCTGAGATTTAGAATTGCACTGCAAAGGAGGGCTAGTCCTTTGAATTATTCTAGTGGTGGTATATCATTGTAACATAAACGTCCTCAGAAGCATAGAACACCTCTCCTTTTTTTACATTAAGATCAGTCATTTCCCTATAATGCATTATCCAGTTGAAACAATTTTTAATCAGAGAAATTAATTGTACAACCTAAGTCATAGAGGATGTCAAATGAACAAGCAGTCCCTTTTGCTTCTTAATGTCCCCAAACTTTTGCTTGATTTTTGTTTTGTTTTTCCATTTACAAATTTATACTTCTAAGAAACTGTGCACTCATGATTTTTGCAGTAAGAGTAAAATAAACCTCCTATGTCATCTGTATATATACACTTCAACTTCACAGTCCCTCTACCAAAAGGTAGAAAGAACTTAGAAAGAACTTTAGGCTTAGCCCAAAATAAACACTAAGGAAAAAACAAAACAAAACAAAACAAAAACATAGAGACAGTCTGTTCTTCCAGGGCTTTCGATCTTGTTTTTAGACTGAAAGGGTACAGATAATTTGGATAGGCATTTGCTATAGATGGACACCAATAAATAAATAAATAAATAAATAAAAATAAAACCTAAACCTTTAACCTATCTGAATACCACTCCTCTTCACTTTTTGTTCTGTCAGTGTTTATTAGCATGATCCATTGTGTCAATGTTACTGCCACTTTATTTATTTACCATTTTGATAAAATGGTAAATTTTGTCAGAGGACAAAAAGGAAAAAAAAATAGTCACGGGAATTAAAGATAATACAATGTTTTTACATGGAACAATTAAATTTCTCTTACAGCTGAAAAAAAAAAAAAAATATATATATATATATATGTATATGAACCTTCCAAGAGCAGTGCCATGAATATGGAAAATATTTAGTACCATGAGAATAAAAACCTCTTTCAAATGGTAACTTTTAAAAGCTCAAGACAAGGAGTTTTACTATTCCTACTACCACAGAAGTGAACTTATTTTACCACATGTAAACAACATTTTACAGCATGTCTTTTCTACATACGTACAAGAAACAGTATTTCCCTTTAAGCCCAAGCAAGGACCTTAAATAGAGCAAATTTCCCACATATGGGGAAAGTTTACTGCTATGGGGAAGCATAGCAATAAACCTTCATCAGAAACTGTGGCTAAGCAACACATTCAAAGCCTCAAATATTATAGATTGGCCTTAACATTCAAATGCAGAGCGAAAGAGTCTTTTTTCTTTTTTTCTCTAGAAATCACTTTGATTGTCAGAGACTTGAAAACATATGTTGGTTTTTGGAGAGGGGGATGGATAAAGGTTTGGGGCTTTTTTAGGTTTCACACCTAATGTTAAGTTATCTTACACCACCCAGATACAACATGAACATCAGAAAATTAAGTCTTTGATAGAAGGTTTCAGTGGCTTGAGGACACACCTGCAGTTACACCTGTTACTAACGTGGCATATTTCCTCCAGTGACACATTATCTAAAATTGTATTTGGCATGACACCTCACACTCTGTAAGAAAATACAAACACATTTAAGTATCTACAAGTGTCACATGATATCCTTCTTGTCAGGTTTTATCAACTTTCAACATTATAATTTTTAAGACAACCCTTCTCAACTTTTCATCTACTACAATATACCTTCACAACTACGAAAACACCAGCATGACATACTAGTATTTATCAGCTACTGACTCAGTAATAGGGCTTTGCAAAGAATTGCAAATTTCTTGAATGAGGAGAGAAATAAATCAATTTAATACTGAATTTGATCCAATAGATGATTTGGTCTAGTCTTGTATCTTACAATGCTGGCAGTCTCCACTGTTCTCAAGCAGCTCAACATTAAATCTTTACTAGTATTAGTGTTTGTGGTGGTGGTTATACTGAACTATAATTGCTCTGCATCCTTCAGTGAGGATGAGAAGATTACATATGAATGGCAGAAGACTGCACTTAGTTTGACACTGAATATGGCTTAAAGGTTAGGCAACATTTGTTACAGAATTGAAATTAATCAAATCCAGAAACAACTCAGGGATACTAAAGATGGCTTAGTCAACTGCACATGAAAGCCACATGTACTAATGTAGTCTAAGCCACAGAAAAATAAATAATAACTTATTTATATCTTATTTTTGTTTTCAAACCAGCTGGAAAAACAAAATCCATCACATTAGAAAACTTAGAAGCATTTAACAAAAAGAAATTACAATAAAACTTGTGAGACTATCACACTTTGAGAAAGGGGACCTGAGTAGCTGAAATCCAGATGTTTTGAGCAACTGTTTAAAAGTGATTTACTCCATTTCTAACAAAGGATGCTTTATCATTCTTAACTTTCTAGAATTAACAGAGGCCATGGGGGAGCAGAGGAGGAAAAGTCTCTGAGGTCCTTACAGAAATTATTTATACTTCAATTCCCACCTGCTTCAAATTAATACTTCAGTATATATGTATTTTGTAACAGTTCATGAATTGTCAATAGATGGAAATTCACATTTTTAAGACACTTGATATCTCAGGTCTAGTAACACAGTTCAAGTACATTTGAGTACGGCATCGCTAGTAGGTCAAGGGAGGTGATTGTCCCGCTCTACTCTGCGCTGGTGCGGCCTCACCTCGAGTACTGTGTGCAGTTCTGGGCACCACAGTATAAAAAGGACATGAAACTGTTGGAGAGTGTCCAGAGGAGGGCTACAAAGATGGTGAAAGGCCTGGAGAGGAAGACGTATGAAGAACAGCTGAGGGCACTGGGCCTGTTCAGCCTGGAGAAGAGGAGGCTGAGGGGAGACCTCATCGCAGTCTACAACTTCCTCGTAAGGGGGTGTTGAGAGGCAGGAGACCTTTTCTCCATTAACACCAGTGACAGGACCCGCGGGAACGGGGTTAAGCTGAGGCAGGGGAAATTTAGGCTTGACATCAGGAGGGGGTTCTTCACAGAGAGGGTGGTTGCACACTGGAACAGGCTCCCCAGGGAAGTGGTCACTGCACCGAGCCTGTCTGAATTTAAGAAGAGATTGGACTGTGCACTTAGTCACATGGTCTGAACTTTTGGGTAGACCTGTGCGGTGTCAAGAGTTGGACTTGATGATCCTTAAGCATCCCTTCCAACTCAGGATATTCTATGATTCTATGATTTCATCTCTGAACTAGCCACTGATAGTTCAGATAAAAAGTAGTAGTGATAAAAGAATTGTTGCCTAGCCACTGTGAAATCAACAAGAAGCCTCTGTCTACCTCCAAGTGAGATGTTTTTTTCTTATTGCAACATCTGTTTTTAAATGACTACTTAAGATTTTAATAGCAAGAAAAAGGGTGTTAGCAAGATAAGGATGTTACATAAACAACACAGTGACTTTATGCTTCTGCAAAATACTAAGTATAATACTTAATGCACACTCAAGAAAAAAATGATACACGGATGGATTACGAACAGCCCCATGAACTGAAAAGCACCAACTTCATCGTCAAATGCACAGAAGTGTGATAAAAGCTGTTCCTTCCTGTTCAATATACTGGTAAACTAGTCTAACAGAAATCTCTTAGAATTATATAATGAAACATATAAAGGGTTGGATGGAAAGGGACCTTAAAGATTATCTAGTTCCAATTCCCCTTCCACAGACAGGGATACCTTCACTAGATCAGGTTACACCAGTCCTGAAATTTGGGTACTTCAGAAGAGTGTGGTTCTTGGACAGTTTTCACCAGAAGACTTAGAAAAGTTTTGTTAAAAAAAATACATTCCCGGCATGGAATATTCTGTCTCATACTGCATAAGACAGCAATCACCCATTGCGAACACTGCAGTGTACATTTTCATGCCTTATGTAAAACAAGTATATAAAAACAATCTATTGATCAAGTACTCTCTTAGTTTAATAATCATTCCTTTTAAACTATGAACTTCCTTGGAGTAAAGGCAGGTAATATTTTAAATTAAGTATCATGTTTTGTATGAGGATTTTTAAAATTATCTCCTTTGTTCACCTAAAGCAATTCACAGTTAGCCACAACTTTCCCCAAAAAAGTGTATTTCCCCAAAAAAGTTCACTTACCATCCAGAAAAGGGTTCCAGTGGCAAATTCAGAATAATGCTCTATAGTAGACAGTACACTGAATATTAAACAAATCAACACCAAGAGAAATCTGTAAAAAGAAAACAGTGGTTAGTGACTTGTTAAGTTGAACTGTAAATGTAAGTCTCGTTTTAGTTCTTTCATTCTTGTAACATTTTTAATCACAAGTATTTTGAATTTAATCAGTTCATTCTTCCTAGTCAAATAAAATTATGCTCTGAATGTCTTCATTTTACATTCCATAACTTAAGAAACATGGAATAAAAGAACTGAAAGGATGTTTGGAAATAAAGAGAATATTCTTCTCAGAAAGAGTGGCTAGCCATTGTAATGGGTTACCTAGGGAGCTGGTAGAGTCACCATCCTTGGAGGTGTTTAAGAAAAGGTTGGATGTGGTACTTTGGGGACGTGGTTTAGTGGGTAATATTGGTGTTAAGGGTATGGCCAGATGATCTTGGGAGGTCTTTTCAACCTTTCTTAATGATTCTCTGATGTTAAGTCAACAGATCAAACTCAAATTATCATGTAGAATATTCCAGAGAAGCTAGTAGTAATGAATGTTTCATGTAAAGACACTGATTGATGTATAACTCATGCACTTTGGTAGAAAGCTATAATAATTGATAATACATTAATTAAAGAAAAATTAGACATACATGTATGACTAGAGTGAGGATTGGTAACTTTAATGAAAACTGTTCCATTAAGTGCATTCCATAAACTTGCAACATAGATAGATACAGTATGAACAGCTACTAACACAGTATTTCCAGTATCATTATTCAGATCAAGAAAAAAAAAATCTCAAAATACATATTCCCACTTCCCAAAATTGTGTTGTCTGCCCCTCACTGTGCACAGTGGCCATTCCTAGGCAGAGGCTGTGGGTGCAGCCACCGTTGCCCTGGCAGACCCAAGGCGGACAACCTTGACTCAGATAAATGTATATATTTATATGTACATAAATTTCTACATAGAGAAATAGATATACATAAATAGTATACAGCCTACAGACTATAGAATTGTGGTGGCTTGGTGTTAGCCAGCTGCCAGTTGCCCCCCCAGCTGTTCTCTCACTCCCTTTCCTCAACAGAATGTGGAGAAAAAGTGTGACCAAAAAAAAAAAAAAAAAAATCATGAGTTGAGATAAACACAGAGAGATCACTTGCCAGTTGAGACAAATACAGAGAGAACACTTACCAGTTACCATCATGGGCAAAACAGACCTTACCTGGGGGAAAATGATTTTATTGCCAATTAAAGTAAGTTTGGATACTGAGAAATGAAGACAAACTGAAATATCTCCCCCACCCCCTTCTCATGCTCAATTTTTCATTTCCAGCTCCTCTACCTTCTTTCCCTCACACACACCCTGAGTGGCACAAAGGATGGGGATTAGGGGATCCAGCCATAACAGTTCCTCTCTGCTTCTTCTTTCTCCTCATGCTTCCTCCTGCTCCAGCATGGGTTCTTCCTTCAGGACAAACCTGCTCCCGCATGCTTTCCTCCACAGACCACAGGGAAACTCTAGAGCCTACAGCACCTCCTCCTCTCCTTATCAGTCCTAAGTATCTGCAGGGCTGCTCCTCACACTCTAACCCGTCTCTACCTGTTCAGTGGTTTTGCCCATCCTCAAACACTTTTTCCAGAGGCATCACCATCTTGGCTGACCATCCTAGCCATGTCCTGCAATGGATCCATCAGAGCTGAGCAGAACCAGCCAGAATCAGCACAGAACAGCACCTGAGGCACCAAGGGGAGCAGTCCTCAGCCTATCAGCCCCCAGGTTTTGTCAATCCTCTTGGATTGGGGACCAAGCTATGCATGACATCACGGTGGCCTCCTGATATCACCAGGGACCTCATTGAAGCCTTTTCCAAGGCCTCCAGCAGCTGGGCGACAAGATCAGGGTGATCATCATGTTCCCTCCTGCCCAGAAAAGGTTTCTAGCAGCTATGAGGCAGATGGAGCAATCGTTGGAGAGAAGAAAGGATTGCATGGTCACTGAAGGTACACACACTTTATAGTTAGTGATTTCTATAAAGCTGCACAGGATGAATCTGTGTGATGCTTATCTCAGGATTTATTTATTTATTTATTTATTTATTTTTTGTGATTAGATTCTGTTCTTAGTCTGTTTTTAACAATTTCTGGCTGTTGTGGATGTGAAAGTTAGTTCTTTGAACTGTTAGGCTCTCTTCAAATCTTATTTAAGCAATGGGGAGCAAATATTTTATCTGAAACAGTTGCTGAAACAGTTGCTACCTCGATAAGAGAGTTTACATTTCCACTGGAAGTACAGGCACTTCATGTATAAGCTTGGTTACTACAAAAACAGTTTCTGCTGTGGGTTTTTCATAAAGCAGCACTGTGGAATGGAAGGGAAAAAAGATCACATAGATCAATCTATTTTTTAATTCTTTTGGTGATGAGTTGCAAAGATAGTGACCCTGTTTACTTGGGGTCTGATTGAACTGTGATTGAACTGTGAGCTCTGTTGGGATAAGAACAGATATCCACCAATAAGTATTTTGTTTAAGATATTACTGTAAAATATATTTCCAGATCCTTTCAGGTTATTATGGTATCAGATAAGGTGATAACTAAAGAAAATATAAAAGTGCTAATGCTTATCATTATAAGTTTGCGGTTTCTGCAAAAGTAAAGGACTAGCCAGTCTAAATTATTCCAGTGGAAAAATTTAATGATTCAGAAACTGAACTCTGGAAAATCAGACATGCAATTCCATTATGCATGCCACAGGAAACAGGAAGCAATCATAAATGCCATTCTTTCTAGCTTTGTAAATTATAGCTCACAAAGGATTAGACAGAATACTGATATTTATCTTAATACTTAAAGTTCTTTATTTTGTTGTTTGTTGTTTTGTTGTTGTTGTCTCACCCTAACAAACATTTAAAATTCTTTTCATGTCTGTCTAGCTGGTTTATTTCAGTACTTGCTAAACTAGACAACAAAATCAAATTTTTATTTAGAATACTGTTAGCTGCAACAGGGGAATGATTTTAGGTACTTAGCTTTACAGAGGTGGCTTAGATGTTGAAAACTATTCTTTCCTAGGCATACAGTTCAGGGCTTTTTTTTCTATTTCAAGGGTCAGACATCTAAATCTATTGGTAGAATTAATTAAAAAATAAAAATAAATAATAAAAAAAACTACTGCATTGATTTCCAAAGGGGAATCGGAAATGTTTCAGTATGTTTTTGTTTGTTTGTTTGTTTGTTTGTTCTCTGAAAACTGATCAAAGGTGACCAAAGTACCTAAATCCAAGAAGCAACTTTCTGAGGTTCCATCTGGATGCCTTTAGTAAACCTCTCCTGATACTTACCTGGTATCTGGTTCTCTTGAATTCTATTCTATTATTGAGGAATTCTATTCCTCAATATGCCCTGCATTTGCTATGTCTGAGCTGAGAGACACCTGGTAAGATTTGTCAGCATGGTGTAGGAGAACAAGCCAGACCTGTGCAGCCAGGAGTACAAAAGAGACAGGGCCAATGAGAAGATGTGTTTACCACACTTCCTGAAAATTTAAATCTAATTTTGCAGAGTCTCATATATTCAGGAAGCAGTTTCACCACCTCTGATGGTGTTAACAAAGAAAAATGTGTTCATGGAGAGCATCTTAATGATGTCTAGTTCTTCATTAATGGCAAATACCTGTAATTATAATGTCTTTAGAAAAAAACAGGGTAAAGTGGTAAAGAGATCCAGATAACAGACCATAGTCAGGGAGTTGTTAGCAACACTTCAGAAGGGGCAGATTTTAGACATATACTCATGATTTACTAACTACAGAGCCCAGCACTCCCAACCTGCTAGTTATTTCATTTCAAGGTACCCAAGTTGCTGAGCATACTATTCAGCAGTTTTGCTACAACCATAAATTTTTATCTCTTTGAAAATGGTGGTATGGTACAAGGGGTAGATAGTTCTCTTCAAGTTGTAATAAAACTGTTATATCACTTCAGTGAGCCGCTACACTGACCAAAGAAATGAAATTGCTCTTGTGTGTCCAAGTCCTGATGAGCCAGCCAGCAGAGGGGGCAAAAGCCACACTTTCTTTCCTAGGTGCTATTACTGCAAAGGGATATAAAAAAAATAAAAAAATAAAATAAAAAAAAAAAGACGCTGAAACACTGTCAAATGGAAAAGAGCAGGTCAATAAGGAGTTTACAGCACAAACAACTGACACTTGAAGCACTTGAAGAGTCTAGACATGAGTATACACGAGTCTTTAGCCTTTCCTTAACACACTTGGACTGTTTTCAGTATGAAGAACATGCAGATACAGAAATAAGGTAACCACAGTCATAAGATTCTCCTTCTTACATTTAATACAAAAGGATTACATTATTACTTAGAAGCCCTCACAACTAATGGGTACCAGGCTCTGTTAAAAGCTATGCTTCATCAGGCAGTTCCTTTACTCAGAGAGCTTATATGTCCAATTAGCGATTCCAATGATGGGTAAATGGAGAAAATCATAAAGAGGTAAGCATACTTGTCCATACAACATAACATAACATACATACAACATAACAGTGTCAAAGTCATACAGGACTTGCATCTCTTGAAGCACAGAGCCTCACCCAGTCAATAGCTGTAGGAACACAGGGACGTGGCTGATTCATGAAAGAGCAGATAACCAGACATTTACCAAGATTTACCAAGAGCAGATAACCACACATTTACCAAGCATTTCTTGGAACCATCTCATCTGTTTGTGCTCATCTTTTTTATAATACTGCTTTTCCACTCCTACCATTGTTACAGATCTTATTTCTAGGCAAAATGCATGTATAAAATATGGAAAAATTACTCTGAGTACCATTCAGCTAATTTCTTCCAGATTCCTGTCATTTCAGTTACTCCCTTTTAAAATCTCTTTGTCTTATTTTACTGCCCTCGCTAATAATAAATAAAAAGCCATGGGTAATTCTTTTGGGATTTTTAAGCTGTCAATATGGATGTTATATAGAATAGACATTCCATGTTACATACTGCAAACAATAGAAACCATGACCTTATTGCAGCTTTTCAGTACCT